GATGTCAGTGGGAGGAATAGTGTCCCATCGTTGGTATCAGTGGGAGGAATAGTGTCCCATCGTTGGTATCAGTGGGAGAATAGTGTCCCGCCATTGGTGTCAGTGGGAGGAATAGTGTCCCATCGTTGGTATCAGTGGGAGGAATAGTGTCCCGCCATTGGTGTCAGTGGGAGGAATAGTGCCCCATCGTTGGTATCAGTGGGAGGAATAGTGCCCCATCGTTGGTATCAGTGGGAGGAATAGTGCCCCATCATTGGTGTCAGTGGGGGGAACAGTGCTCCATCATTGGTGTCAGTGGGAGGAATAGTGTCCCATCATTGGTATCAGTGGAAGGAATAGTGCCCCATCATTGGTGTCAGTGGGGGGAGGAATAGTGCCCCATCATTGGTGTCAGTGGGGGGAGGAATAGTGCCCCATCGTTGGTGGCAGTGGGGGGAGGAATAGTGCCCCATCGTTGGTGGCAGTGGGGGGAGGAATAGTGCCCCATCGTTGGTGGCAGTGGGGGGAGGAATAGTGCCCCATCGTTGGTGGCAGTGGGGGGAGGAATAGTGCCCCATCGTTGGTGTCAGTGGGGGGAGGAATAGTGCCCCATCGTTGGTGTCAGTGGGGGGAGGAATAGTGCCCCATCGTTGGTGTCAGTGGGGGGAGGAATAGTGCCCCATCGTTGGTGTCAGTGGGGGGAGGAATAGTGCCCCATCGTTGGTGTCAGTGGGGGGAGGAATAGTGCCCCATCGTTGGTGTCAGTGGGGGGAGGAATAGTGCCCCATCGTTGGTGTCAGTGGGGGGAGGAATAGTGCCCCATCGTTGGTGTCAGTGGGGGGAGGAATAGTGCCCCATCGTTGGTGTCAGTGGGGGGAGGAATAGTGCCCCATCGTTGGTGTCAGTGGGGGGAGGAATAGTGCCCCATCGTTGGTGTCAGTGGGGGGAGGAATAGTGCCCCATCGTTGGTGTCAGTGGGGGGAGGAATAGTGCCTATCATTGGTGTCAGTGGGGGGAGGAATAGTGCCCCATCGTTGGTATTAGTGACACCAATGATGGGGCACTATTCCTCCCACTGACACCAATGATACTTACCTTGCTGACCCCTGCTCCAGCCTGGGCTCGCTCTCTCCCTCTCCCATCTACAGCCTGCAGAAGCAAAATTTGCACTTACCTGTCAGCTGTCTTCCTTCTCTGGCCTCTCTCCTCTTCACTCGGTCCTGCAGCTCCCTCGATCTTCTTCGATCTGCGCGCTCTGCCGCTCAGCTCCTCCTCTCCAAGCTCCACCTCCTCGCCGGTGATTGGCCGCCTGTGTGCCTCTCCTGAGCTACAGTTCCGGTGGCCAATCAGCGGCGAGGAGGCGGAGCTGTTGAGTGATTCCAGAGGTGTGGCCAGGTTACAGGGGCAGCATATCATCCCGCCCACAGATCGCGAGACAGAGCAGCGGTGTCTCGGTTCCTAAGACCATCGGAAATATGTTTTCCGATGGTCTTAGGCGACCCCTGGGAAATGGTCGTTCGACCCCCCAAAGGGGTCGCGACCCCCAGGTGGAGAACCGCTGCTGTAAGGGAACAAGAATCTCTGGTATGATGAAACCAAGACTGAACTATTTGGCCTCATTTCTAAATGTTATATATGGAGGAAAACCAGGTATCGTTCATCACCTGCCCAATACCATCCCAACAGTGAAGCATGATGGTGGCATCATGCTGTAAGGGTGCTTTTCAGCAGGGACTTGGAGACTGGCCAGGGCTGAGGGGAAGCTGAAAGGAGCAAAATAGAGAGGTATCCATAATGAAAACTTGTATCGCAGCGGATAGGACCTCAGACTGGACCAAAGTTTCACCTACCAACATGACAATGATCCTAAGCACACAGCCAATACAGGGGTGGCTTAGGGACAACTCTGTGAATGTCCTAGAGTGGCCCAGCCAAAGCACTGACTTGAACCCTATTGAACATCTCTGGAGAGACCTGACAATTGGTTATCCACTGATGGTCCCCATCCAACCTGATTGTGCTTGAGAAGATGTGCAAAGAATGGCAGGAAATCCCCCAATCCAGGTGTGCAAAGATTGTCAGGTCATACACAAAGACTTGAGGCTGTAATTGCTGGCAAAGATGCTTCAACAAAAGTACCGAGTAAAGGGTCTGAATACCTGAAGTTTTTTTTTTTTAGTTTTGGATAGAGCGGAGTTGGATTAGAACACCTGTCAGTTTTTATTGCTGTTTGTGCCCACCTTAGGGAAAAGCACCCTATTTGTCCTGCTAACCATTATCTAAAGTAAAAGTAAAAGAAACCCCAAATTTTGAGCTGTCCCCAGGAAAGTAATGGAGGGGAAATCTTCCAATGGGGAAACTAATTCTGGTGACCTGGGAATCACCCCCCCCCCCCCCCCCCCCAAAGGAATTGCCTTAGTTTGCAGGGATTTGTTCTCAATTGTTGTTTTAGCTATGGGACAGGAAGTGATGGTAAATCTCTCCAATTGGACACCTATGGAAAAAAAAACCCTGCCAGGAGTTATAACACTCCTTTACTCTGTCCAAAATGAAAAAGTTTTGCCTATAGTTCTACTTTAAGTACATGTAATATTGCAGATTTTTCTTTTTAGTAAATCCAGACATTTCTAAAATTCTGTTTTCACTTTGCCATTATGGGGTAGTGAGTGCAGATTAATGAGGGAAATAATTTTTAAAACAACTGTAGTATCAGGCTGCAGCACAACAAAATTTAAAAAAGTGAAGGGGATCTGAATACTTTATGAATGCACTGTAGCTTGTGATTATCTGCAAAACACAGATTTGGTAATTTTAATCTCAAACACCATCATTTGTAAAAAGGTAAACCAGTAAGAGACCCAACACTGAACCTTGGTATGTACCACTAATAACCTTCGACCAGGGGTCTCCAAACTACCCTCCAGGTGTTGAGGAACTACAAGTCCCATGAGGCCTTACAAGACTGACAGCCAGAGGCAAGACTCCCAGAGGCATGATGTGACTTGTAGTATTTCAACAGCTGGGAGGGCCATAGCTGGGAGGGCCATAGCTTGGTGTGGAGAAATTAAGCTGGAAAAGATTGAAGTTATAAGTCTTTAATTACAAGATTGGACATTATTAGGACTTTAATTTTATTTTTGTGCACTACCAAAGCACTGGGTGGGCATTTGTTTTGGATCCCCTTATGGCACTTGTATGCTTATTTTCAGTTACTTTATATGAACTATTTGATCTGGAGATTTATATGGTTTATGATACATAGAATAGCGCCGCTGTCCCCCTTCTTTGATTAGATAAGGAACTATTTTACATAATTTCTAATAACTTTTAAAGTGGAAGCTTTTCACTCAGTTTTTTATCACTAGTGGTTTCTGTGGCACTGAGGAAGAATTTCTGGGCAGAAGTGGGAGTCGAACAATAGTTTAGTAGGAAAAGACTCAACAAGTCACCAACACTCCTGGTAGAATGGGCAAGGCGGAACCTTGCCTTTGATCCCAAAGGAGTTAAAGGAGCTGATGAATCCACCTACACATACTGGATTGAGTCCGACCCCTGTAAGGACCATTGGGTAGAACAAAGATGAAATCAGACTGTCAAACAAAGCTGAAGACTTTAGACAAACCCAAACAACTCCATCATCATTCTTCAATTTAGGATGCTTAGGATTAGGTAAAAAAAAAAAAAAAAAAGACAGCAACACAATGATGGGACTTTATCAAAATTGCAGCAGCCAGAATCTGGAGCAGTTGAGCACAGCAACTAAACAGCTTCTTTCATTTTTAAAAGAAACAAGCTGTTTAATAGAACAATCTGAAGTTGATAGGTTTCTATGCACAACTGCTCCAGGTTTGTTCTGCTCCAGCATTGATAAATTCTCCCTCCAATGTCCTGATTCAGGTGAAACGAAGACATTACGTAAAGCAAGAAAGATGATTGAGGCCTAAACACCATCTTATCCAAGTGAGGAAAGAGGAAGGGGGTCCCATTTAATGAAGCACAGCCAAATCCAAGACAATGTGAGTCAAGGTAATGGCCACCAAAAGAGACAACCTTGTGCTTAAAGAGGTGTTAAACACAAAAGCAAACATTACATTGCAGCTGAGAGCAGTTCTGAGATGTTGCTGTAACTGCTTGTGTGAGCTCAAGTCTGGCAACAACTTGTTAAAGTGTGTAAATGTGCTAGAACATCTGACACTACCCTCCCCCAGGCTGACAATGCTGTTGTCCAAAGGTACCCCTGTGCTCCTTCATCCAGAGAAGGAGCACTATAATACAGGAGCTGTGTTAGTGGCCAGAACATAAGTTGAAAACAGAGGGGAAAAGACTAAAAAGAAAACTAATGTAGCCACCACTTCTGATGACTGGACTCATATACTACATCTTTTGGTTTGGGGTTGAGTACCGCTTCTAGAAATGACAACGTAATCTTCAAATTCCGAGACTGTAAAACAGGAAAAAAGATTTCACTGGATGACAGCAAGTCTGAGCTGGTATGCCAAGAGATTTATGATGTCTGCATACCATGTTCTTCTTGGCTAAGCCAATGCAATCAGAATCACTAGGATGCCCTCCACCTTTACCCTGTGTAACAGAAAAGAAGTTGGAGTGGAGGGAAGGCAGTGATCAGAGAAAAAAAAAACTAATCCGAAGGAGTTACGAGGACATCTAAGTCAATGGCCCATCCAGTTTGTTGCTGAATGTGGATACCAGGAGATCCACATTTGGGGTCCCCCAACACAGAGAAATCTCTGCAAACAACTTCGGATGAAGGACCCATTCTCCTGAATTTAGGCACTGATGACTGAACAAACCTACTAGTCAATTTTCCATGGTGGGAAAGTGTGTGTGGCAGAGAACACGAAATGTTGGGAGGGTGGTACCGTGGAAGCATAATTCTAGCACATTGCTTAGAAAGGCATTTGTTTGTTTCTTTATTTAAAAATAGCAAACATTTTCAAGTAGTTTAGTTATTCAAATGTTTTTTTTAACAGACATAGGCAGAAAAAGTTAAATCTACTCACCTGTAGCCTGATCAACAAGGACACGAGAATTGATAATACGCCCAAACCCTGAAAACATATCTTCAACATCTTTCTGCGTCATTGTCCTTGGGAGTCCACTGATATATAAATTTGCATCCTTAATATTTTCTGAGCTTGGACGGGCAAAGGACACCTAAGAGAAGAAAACACGTGCAATTATTCAAATGCATGCACACGTATACACCCAAGAATATAACAGGATAAAGACCTGCAACACTTTTTGAAGTTGTGGTTTAAAATTATTCCACTAAGCCACTGACTCTGTACCAAAAAAAGCCCTGCAATTTCTCATTTTAAAACAAAAACCTCAAAGTGTTAAATATTTCAAATGGCTTGGAGTAAGTATAAAAAAAAAAAAAAAAATGATATATATATATGGATCAACTTTACCTAAATGTTAGTATCCAGTTATATTATGTGCATCTAGGAAAGAATCCGGGCCTTTTTTAAAGCAATCCACTGAGCTGGCCAGAGCCAACTCTTGAAGGAGTCTATTACACCTTTCCGTATTTGAAATTAAATCTCTTTTCTTTCAGACATATGAGTGCTCCCTTGTCCTCTGTGATGACCTCAGAGTGAATAACTCTACACCGAGTTCACTATCCCCCACCCCCTTAATCTCCTCTTCTCAAGAGAGAATTCAATTTATTTAATCTTTCCTCATAGCTGAGCTCCTCCATGCCTCATCAGTTTGGTTGCCCTCTCTGCACTTTCTCCAGTACCCCAATATTTGTTTTCTGAAATGGTGCCCAAAACTGAAATACATATTTTAGATGTGTCTTACTAATAATTTGTACAGGGGTAAAATAATCTCTCTCTCTCTGGAGTCTATACCTCTTAGTACAAGAGAAGATTTTGCTAACGTTAGAAACCGCAGCTTGGCATTCCATGCCATTATTAAGCGTATGATTTACCAGAACTCCCACATCCTTCACCATTGATTCCCCCAGTTGTACTCCCCCTAGTATGTAGGATGCATGCATATTCTTAGCCCCCAAGTGCACAACTTTACATTTATGAACATTAAACTCTTTTGACACATAGTTGCCCAATTAAAACAGTGCATTGAGGTCGGCTTTTAAGTTGGAGACATCCTGTAAGGACGTTATTCCACTGCAAAGCTTGGTGTGATCTGAAAAGACTGAAATGAGATTTTTAATCCCAGACCCCAATATCATTTATAAATACAATAAAAAGTAAGGGTCCCAACACCGAACCTTGGTGTACACCACTAACAACCCTAGACCATTCAGAGTATGAATAATTAACCACTACTCCCGGAATATGGTCTTTTAGCCAGTTTTCTATCCATTTACATACAGATTTTTTCAAAGCCTGTAGACTTTACCTTACACATTAGCCATATGTGGGAAACTGTGTCAAACACTTTTGCAAAATCCAATAAATCCTCATAAAAAGAAATCAGATTTGACAACATCTGTCTTTCATGAATCCATGCCGTCTGTTTTTTTCAAGCAAGAACTCATCTATGTGGTCTTTTATTAAACTCTCCAGTATCTTCCCAACTATAGAAGTTAAACTAACAGGTCTATAATTACTTGGTAAAGATGACATGTTGACCCATTTTTAAATATAGGCACCACATTGGCCTTGCACCAATCCAGCGGTACTATGCCAGTCATTAACCTGTTCAAGCCGGCCGAACACAAATGAGCGGCCTCCCGACATCTGGGCCTAGACGCCGAGCGGCCGCACATTTGAGTTCTATTAAAAAAGAACATATGTGCTGAGAGCGCGCATCTTGCTATAGCAACTGGTTTCCTTGTTATTTAGACCTTTACAGGTGGTTGTTAAAAGAGAGGTTTTCTACACCATGGTAAATATGGCCCTGTCCCAACTTGAAGATTTGTTGCTGTCGTCTCAAAATTACCTAATTTTCTTTCTTAAAAGGTTATATTGTCTCAGTTTAAACATTTAGTATATTTTCTATTGTGAATAAAAAATAGATTTATGCATTAATGCATTTGTTTAATGTAGATTTTACACAGCGTCCCAACTTTTTTGGAATTGGAGTTGTAAAACGTACACACCAAAACAAAATGGCTCCTAAGCGAGTGCAGCCTCTCAGAGATCATAAACACATGTACCACCACTGAAATAAGAATTGATTACACAAACTCTAATGCTCACCAGTACCGTCAATGTAGATTGACCTGCATTGAAAAATTTTACAGTGCAACTTTTCTCCTGCAGCATGGATTATACTACACATACTGTATAACTCCGTATGTGATGGGATGAGCCAGATTCTGAGCTAGCGTTGTATATTGTCATAATAACCCTTTCAATATAGAACTTACGGATGTGGTAGAAAACAAGAAGTTTGAGTTCTTAGACCTTGAACTAAGTTTTGATGTAGACCTCAAAATCATTTCCAAAACATACTTCTAACCTTCTGCAGGTAATTCCTACCTGCATGCCAATAGCCATCATCCTCCGAAGTGGATTAGATTAGATTAAAAAGGACATGCACCAGAGTTGAGGACTTTGACGAGTAGCGCTTTATTCTGAAGCAGAAATTCTTAGACAAATGTTACAATAAGTGTCTGATCAATGAGGCCTGGAATAATACAGAGGTGAGTACTTTGTGAAATAGAAAGAGCCAGCCAAAGAACCTAGGCCAACTAATGAGTCCAATGCTGTCCCGTTTAGTACTAGGTTTAACAATAAAGTCTTTAAAATAAGAAATGTGGTCTTGAAAAATTGGAACATCTTAAAAAACCCTTTCTTTCCAGTGTTCTCCCTGATAAACCCAATATTGTCAGATAGCCAAAAGAATCGAGAAGCCACATTGCTCCCAGTAGTCTTAAACGTATAAAAAACAGCACTCCAACACCTGTCTGGACTTCCATCTTTGACCAGTAGGGGAACTTTCGATGTGGAGTCATTAACTGTGGAACATGTCAGTACATGTGGCATAGCAAAAAGCAGTTATGGGTACTGATGGAAGAGTGCACCCCATTCGACAGTTTATCAACTGTGGGTCAAAATAGGTTTATGGCCTCCTGTGCCCATGTGGCCCCATATGTGGGTCGGATGTCACATGCCCTTAGGGTACTCTTTGATGAACATAAGAGGAACATCTTGAAGGCTTATATCAAACATTCAGTCCGCCATTTTAAGGTACACAACAAGGACCCTGATGGGTTGAGGGTTTTTGAGATCAAAATGATCACAGGAGATGCTGATAAGAACACAGAAGAACACAGATGTCGGCAGTCCTTCCCTCACACACTGTTAAGTGTTCGTACAGTTCGTACGGTTAACACTGATAATCGGGGCACAGATCATCAGTGCCTAGCAGTGTAGCCTCATCAGAGTGAAGAAAAACTACTTATTTGCAAAAAATGTTATAACAGAAAGAAAAACATTTTTTTCCCCAAACTTTTTGGTATTTTATTTGTTTAGCAAAAAATAAAAAAAAACAAGCGGTGATTAAATACCAGCAAAAGAAAGCTTTCTGTCTCAAAAAAATAAAAACTTTATAGGAGTACAGTGTTGCATAACCACACAATTGTCATTTAAAGTACGACAGCGCTCAAAACTGAAAACTGGCCTGGGCAGGAAGGGGGTGAAAATGCCCAGCATTGAAGTGGTTAAAGAATACCTCTAGCCTCATCTGCAGGGCCCTTGAAAATAGAATTTCCCTCCACGGGGCTGTACGGGCCTTATTAAGGCGGAAGATGGCAGGATCTAGCACTGGAAGCATCCACTTGTGAAGAAAACTTTCCTCAATAGAATAGTATTGGGCAAATGCAAATGAACTGTGATAGCCTGGGCTGGTTTAGGAAATTTGAGCGACCTCAGAATGAGACACCTTGGGGGTGAGCAGACTCAAGACTGCTCCAATACTAAGAACGAGCATAAAGAATCAATAAGTGTAGTGGTAGTATATAGTTACAAAGTCAGGCTGAGGAAGAAAAATAGAAGAAATCCACACTAGCAACTGATTCAGAGGAAGGCAAATAAACCCTTAAAATATGGTCCAATTATCTCCACCAGGGGGAAAAAATCCTTCTAGATCCCCTAAGATGGGGTGCTCAACCTCATGAAGAGTGAGGACCACTTAAATTGATTTGGTAGCCGGTCACAGGCCACAATGAACTAGGAGGTTTAACCACACCCCAAACCGCAAATGTAAATGAGCCCTTACTGCCATGAGCCTCCTACAAAGCTACTTTCACACTGATGCACTGCAGTTTACCCGCACAGCAGTGCACATGCTGCTTTCCTGCGGGTTAGCTGCACTGAGCCATTGGCATCTATTACACCTTGCGGTTGTGGTGCACTTTCTGAAAGCGAACCAAAACACCTGCATTCATTGCAACTGTGCAGTGTATGTGATGTTTGATACACTCACCTTTTTCTCTTCCAGCTTCTACTGGCATCACTCTCCAGGCTGCTAGAAAGGTCCCAGGTGAAGGGCACTTGGTATCACTCCGCTTCGGATAGGAGCCAGTGCTACAGAGGAAGCATCAGCTTATGTGGCTCCTGCTCCCTCCGCAACCAACTCTGGCCCCAAGCACCCTGATGCTCTAGGATGGCAGGTTGGCAACCCATTGATCACAATCTGGGCTTGCCGACCCGCCATTCCAAAACATGGGCATGAACTTTCCTGGTCTGAGGTCATGGGCTACATCACACAGCTCCACGGGCTACATGTGACCCGCAGGCCTTGGGTTGAGCACCCCTGTCATAAGGCAACTGGATATTCCCTTGATCAACAATCTGATGTTATTACTTGTAAAAAGTTAAAAACCTGTTGCATTCTGTCCAGCATTTTTGAATCAATTAACTGAGCTAGGTATAACTTGTTCTTTAGGAAGTCTATTCGACATCAACATCTCCACAGCTCTTATCCTGAATAAGCCTTTCTGTATATGGCCAATAAACCTCTTTCCCTCTAGTCTCAAAGACTGTTCATTGTAATGACCTTAACAAGTTTGCACTAGATTTAATATATGGGCCATTTATGTATAGGTGTACATCATGGTGATCATATCTTCCCCTTCTCCCCTTCTCCCCCCTCCCAAATGCTCCTTCTAAGGAGCAAAATACAGGTGAAACTCAAAAAATTAGAATATCGTGCAAACGTTAATTTATTTCAGTAAT